GGTAAACAAGGTCTTGTCTGGTGTGAAGCTTATTTAGATGACATTGTCATTTATTCAGACTCTTGGGAGGAACATCTAGAACAGGTGAAAACTGTGTTTCAGAAATTAAATGAGGCCCACCTGACGGTTAATCTCGCAAAATGTGAGTTTGGTCGTGCCACTGTGGTTTATCTGGGTAAAATGGTGGGTAATGGACACGTTAGACCAGTGGGTTCAAAAATAGAGGCCATTTCATCATTTCCCATTCCTTCCTCACGACGTGAGTTACAGCGCTTTCTTGGAATGGCTGGCTATTACAGGAGTTTCTGTAAGAACTTTTCCGCCGTCGCTTCTCCTCTCACTGACTTGATGAGTCCAAAGGTTCCATTCAATTGGTCCCTGGAGTGCCAACATGCGTTTGAGTGCGTTAAAGCTCTCGAGTAGTGCACCGGTTCTTGCCGCACCAGTGTCCACGGTGCCCTTTAAACTGGCGGTGGATGCCAGTGATACAGGAGCTGGTGCGATTCTTTTGCAGGGCGGTGCAGATGGGATAGAACACCCTGTGTGCTATTTTTCGAAGAAATTTAATAGACACCAAAAGGTGTACTCTACAATAGAGAAGGAGGCACTGGCGCTGACAATGGCTTTGAAACACTTCGAGGTCTATGTGGGCTCCTCTAGTGGCCCGATTGTTGTTTACACCGATCATAACCCGCTCGTCTTTATTCAGCAAATGCGTAATTCCAACCGGCGGCTGATGCGGTGGGCCCTTTATCTTCAGTCCTTCTGTTTGGAAGTAAAGCACATAAAGGGTAAAGATAACATCTTGGCTGACGCTTTGTCCCGTTCCTACTACTGATGCTGCATGGTGTGCTGAAATCCCCATGCAGCATTTAGGGGTGGAGGTGTGAAGGGCTCCTGTCACTGTTGTGAATGAATCCCTGTTTAATTGCTGTTTTCTTCTTGCAGTTGATTGGCTGGGGAGAGTTTAAAGGGATCAAGCCCCACCCACCAGAGGAGCGAGGAAGTTTGGAGGTACTCCTGGTTGGTGGCGTGTCTCAGAGCCTCGCTCCCGCTCCATTGGTGCTATTTCTTGTTTGTTAACCTCCCTCTTGTGTTGTTAGGTCTGGGGATCGTTGGCCAAGCCGAAGTTTTCCGGTTATTGGTTGTAGGGCGAGTGATCCGGTAAGGCAGGGTGAGGGGAGCGGCCCGAATCCGACGGTCAACTGCTGGCTGGTTCGTGAATGCTCCCACTCTTTTGTTTATTTTGCCGCGATTCCCCAGTACCTCTATGTCCAGCCTTGGATTAAATAAAACCCTTTTTGTTTTATGTAATTTGGTCTGGACTCATTATGTTGTGTGTCCTGTGCGGACCGTAACAGGGGGGTAAATGGCTATGTGGAAATATGCATCGGAGAGGTCGATGGTTACAAACCAATCCTCCGGACGAATGGAGCGACAGAGTCTTGTGTGTTAACATTCTGAATGTATACTTGCGTAAGTGTTTGTTTAAACACACGCAGGTCCAGTATGGGTCGTAATGATAGGCCGTCTTTCTTTGGAATGAGAAAATAGCGTGAGTAGAAGCCCTGATGAACCTCTTCTTCCGGCACTACTCTGATTGATCGTTTGGCTAGCAGGGATGCGATCTCGTCCTCCAGGACGTGCACCGAATCCCTGTTGGCCACTGAAACGAGCACTCCTTTGAATCTCGGAGGTCTCACAGCGAACTGCAGTCTGTACCCCCTGGAAATCGTGGTCAAAACCCATGGGGAGACTGCACATGTGCGCCACTCCTCTGTCTGAGCAGAGAAGGGGTCCGCCATGATGAGTGACGTCATCCCCTCTGCACTGCTGAACTCTGCTGTCATGCAGAAAGCGCCAGCTCCCTCTGTTGGGTACAGAGGGGGATGACATGGATTTATTTTTGCAATTTTTTTCTTTTTTTGTGGGGGGCTTCCGGCCCTCTGCAACATGCCTGGTTGCAGAAAAGCTTCTTTTATTTCCCTTGATTCCCCCAGAACAGAAAAATGTGTGAGGGGGCACTGGTGAGTGCTTGGTGACACTGACAAAGTGCTATGAAGTGTTACATGACAGTTTTGAAGTGCTGGAAAACACTGCGTTGTCTGTCTCAAAATTTCCTCTCTCTTAACACAAGGGAGAGAATTCAACAGGACTCCTGATGAACTGGGAACCACAGGAAAATTTGAACACTGGACAGAGAGGTTTGCTCTGCTGTCTGAAAACCCTCTCTTCCGAGGAAGAAGTTGTGGAAAAAAGACAGGGGCTAGGTGGCCCGCTTCTTTTTCCCCTCCATGGGGTAAGATGGACGATTTTTTGCAGCGGCCGCTTACCCCATGGTTTTGGGTTCTCAGATTTATTTTGCTGGGGAGGTTGTGCGGCAGGCCTTCTTGGAGCCCTAGGTCCACCCTGCCGTCCTCTCACTGCAGCAGCTGCAAAGCCAGGTCTCGGTCCTGGTGGAGGAGTTTGGCTAGGTTTACGAGGCAAACAAAGGTTGAAAGCCTCTCCCTCCTGTTTTCTGAGGGTACTTATTTCCCTCATTTTCTCCAGGGAGGGGCCAAATAGACCTTTCGATGGGTCATAGGTTGAATCCATAATTTCAGCCTTTTGGGCGTCACTTAGGCCTGACAGGTTTAGCCATAAGGCCCTCTCCCCTGAGACTGCCAGTCCCATGACACGACCACAACCTTGAACGGCACCTCTAGAGGAGCGTAGGATAAGATCGTTCACCACACATCTCATCCCAAAGGGTGGGGTTTGGTGTCCCCGAGTCCAGCTGACGACCCATCTCCTCCAACATTTCACTTTGATAGGCTGACAACAGTGTAACTGCATTAAGCAAGCACACTGATTGTGCAGCATATTTGTACATCCGCTGGTAAATAGATGCAGTGAGGTGATCTATTTTACCTGGAAGCGAGATGCTTGAAGATGCTGACACAGATCTGCGGTTAGGATTAAGGTGGTAAGCTACTGAAGGCTCCACTGTTGGGGGTTCAGCCAGCCCCAACTCACCCATGCCCTGAATCTCGAGTTTAGAGAAGCCCTTGGTGGGGAGCTGCTTCAAACGAAAAAGAAAATGCTTCTTTGGAAGCACTTACCCAGCACAGTCCAGGCCTGTGTCCAGCGGCGTCTTCCTTTTCGGAACGCCTAAGAACGGTTAAGCAAAGCCAAGCTAGCCTGAATGTCCTGAGGGAGCTTTGTTGTAGTTCTTTACACAGGAAGAAAGCGAGAATGAGTTGAGAGGGGTAGGTTGGCCATGATATTGGATGGTGGGCCACAGTCACGGCTCAACCTGTCTGTCGCGGACAGACGTGATGTCATTGGAGCTTCCGTAGTTGGGTCACGCTGAGGTGATTCCCATAGTGAAACACCGAGCAAAGTTAGAAAAAGAACCTTTAACTACTGATAGTCAGAACTACGGAAAGAAGACAAAAGGTGCTACGTGACAGGTCAAAGAAATGCGTTGGTAGAATTGTAAAGCAAAAAAAAACAAAAAACTTCCTGGCACCTTGAAGCAATGCTAAGACTTTAGGAAAACGTATAACCCATTAGGGAGTCTCCTTTTTTGTCTTTCTTGGTATGACACATCCAGATGTCAGTTGTATATTTTTTTCTCTCAAACTTCTCTTTTTAAGGCTGAAGTCGATCTCACTCAAAGTGTGTCTGAATTTAAACTCTCGATGACGTAACTCACAGATAAGGTTGAAAATTTCGTCCTTTGAGATGAATGAAAGGTTGATGAAAGGAAGATTCCTTTAAATCATTGCTACCTGAAAGTTATTGAATCAATAACTGTAGGCTTTCTACATTGTTTCTCCCTTTAGGCTGAGTTTATAATTTGAAAAAATTTGGCAAATAGGCAAATATTTGCATTTTTATTAATGCAGATTGTTCAAATTTGAATGAATAACAGAATATGAACTTTTTTTGTTTTATTTATTAGGCACTTACTATCTGTAGCAACACATAATGTTGATATGCATATTACATTGATAAATTATTTAAGCTAAGGTGGATAAGATCTAATAACTTACATTTATTCGAGTAATTTCAGAAATACACACACATATATATATATGTATATATATATATATATATATATACATATATATAAATAAATAAAAACAAAAGTACTTTTAGGAATACCTTATGTACTAGTTTAATACACAAAAATATTTGAAAAAGTGTTTCTTCTTCCTTCATTTGATTTCTTGCATTTGTGTCATTTATTTACATTGAAAAAAAAAACTGGTCTTATAGTTAATCTGAAAGCCTGTTAAGTCAGAAATAGAAACATATCTATGTTACAATGCAGCTTAAACCCTCATTTAACTATGAATGACATTAAAAAGGTGCGTTATTTTTATTCATAACAATCATTGCAGCCATTCTTTAGCATATTTCTATGGAAGATAATAAATGCCAAATTAATATACATATAAATGCTATAGAAGATTTAAAAAATGGCTTGAAATATAATCTAAAAAAAGAGGGCTATTAACAAGAATATATGTGGATTTGCTTTCGCACACATATAATCCTTTTGAATCAACGGTTTTGTTTGAGGACGGTCGTATTGTTGAGGATAAAAGCAACTGGGGCACCGCATACAATCGCATGTAGGCATTAAATAAAATAAATAAATAAACACTGCTTATAATTCTGACCCCAATATCATTTTGAAGATGAGTCATGCGTAAAACGGGTCTGTTGATCTGTGCGAAAAAGGGGCAAACCAAAAGTATTTGAGGCATTGCTGTAGATCAATAACAGACCTTTTCTTCCACCCTCGACTTTGTGCCACGTCTCATTACGTTTAAGAAAGCTCAGCAATGTCCCAGTGAACAAGGTTAGGCTCAAGGCCTTGCTCTGCCTACCCTTGGAGGAGAGAGACGTCTTGGAGAGATTCAGGAGTCGTAGACCTTTGTTGAGCCGGCAGACTTGTTGAATTAGGTTGGAGACTCCTGGATGAAGACAGAGAGGTGAGGGGAAAGAGAAAAGATGAGAAAGGGCCTCCATTTATTAAAAACGATGACTAATAATACACAGAGAGAGGGCTGACTTATTCAATTTAAATATTTCCTTAAACATTTAAAACAGGAAAAAAAAAAAAAGAAAGGAATGCCAAGTAGCGTGTGTTGAAAACCTGACATAAATCAATTAAAAATGAGAGAAAGTTCAATTATGTACCTGCTTATACGGAAGAAACAGTGAATTAATAAAGGCATCACAAAAATACTTAAGACTGATGGACAAGACTGTCAGCTAAAAATATATTTTTCAAAGAGAAATGTGCATTTATGTTTTAAATCATCAAATAAAATAAACATGCATACAAGCGAGTGCCAAATGACTTTTATCTCTGTTTTCCTCTACATGCCGTGGATGAAGCCAGACGCAGATCATGTGCTAAGCCAAATTACGTAATGCAGTTTCAATTGATTTTTTTTCCCCCTTAATCTACAGCAATCACGATGGACACATAAAAGCCTCTTCCTTATTAAAAATCTGTTTATTTTTATGCTCAGGATCCCTGTGTGATCCTTAGCTTTTTTTGTGATCATACATCTTATTTAGTGGCTGCTGCTGTGTTGCATTTGTAATCACAATAAAAAGGCCTGCACACTGTCAATACTCATAAACACACGCTGACACACCAGGGAGGCTGATACGTGTGAGCGCAAGGAATCCACTGAGGCAAGTGGAAGTGACAAGTGTCAGACGGAGGGAGAGAGGGTGTCGGGGTGGGGACATAAATTAGCTAATGAGGGAGGTGGCGTGCGTGCGAAAGCCTGGCTCTGGCTTAACACAAAGCTCAACAGTGTCTCCTTGTAGGGGTAAGCAATACAAGGATGATAGATTGTGAGGGATTAGAACGGGTTGAGGATCAGCCGAGGCAGCGAGATCACAGGGTCACCCGAGGCAGAGGCTCCCAAAATTCATTTAAACAAAACAACGTTATGAGGAGAGTCGTGAAAGCAACAACTGGTCAAATGCGCTGCCGTTAATATCGAGTCAATTAAACCAGAGCAAAACGACAACAACGTTAACAGGTGGTGTTAACTTGGACCGTTTTAGCTTGGATCTTTTAACCTGCTAGCATAACAAGTCAGAAAATGGTTTGTTAGCTAATAGCTAGCTAGCTCAGAGCACAGAACAGCTGAAGCGTTGATTTTTCTCGCTTATGCAGCTGTGTCAACTCGCCCCTTACTTCCTGCTTGATTTCCTTCTTAATGTTTGTTACAATAATGATATTATCTACACTTGCATGTTTACTTGGTTGTAGGTGAAACATGGCGCATCTATGAGCTAAAACCTTAATTAGCATAGGGTGCAGACTGGTGTTTTTGAATATTTCCAAAGAAAATAATGTGCTAAAAAAAAAAAAAAAAAGCAGAGAGCAAAGAGAATTGTTTTGGGGGGTGCTTCAAAACACTGTCAACAAGCCTCAGTGTTTTATTTATATGTGTTCATTTTAGTTTTTATGCTAGAGAAATAAGAATACTTGCTATAAGAGCAATTACACAATAATCTCTTAGAGGGCTGACTTCAAATTTTATTACATTTTCAGGTTGACCTCTGACTTTAAAATGTTAGCTAAAATAAACACATTTCTTTAGCGGGTCGCTGTCATGAGTTTATAAAATATGGGGCTAATTTTAAAGTTGTGTCAAAATAACAGTTAATAAAGGCATAGATATATAAAAAAAAACTATCCTGCATCCTCAGAACCAGAACCAAACAGGAAGACACGGCATTCAGCTTCGGGAACAAAATCTGGAACAGACTTCCAGAAAACTGCAAAAGAGCTGAAACACTGATTTCCTTTAAATCAAGCCTAAAGCCCCACATGTTTACAGTTAAGTGGAAGATTGACCAACATATTCAAAGCGCACTGATGATTATGATGATGGCACTCGACAGAATGTAATGTTTGTTCCTGGTTTAATTGATGACTTCGTTGTTTTCATGTCTATTTTTATGTTTTTATGATGTAAAGGACTTTGCACTGCCTTGTTGCTGAAATATCCTATACAAAAAAACTTGACTGACTGAACATAAATTTAATAATCAACATTTAGTATTGTTATAAAATTATATTATGCATTTTTTCTTTAAATGTTCCCCTGTTTAACACCATCTTGTAGTGGTATTTTTACTCAAGACTGTCATAAAATTAGAATGTCATAATCGCCTGGTGCCTAATTATTATATATTAGTTGGGCTTTATACATGCTGGTAAAATGGCAGAAACACATTAATACTTTTTAAAAGTGTGCTATGACCTTGTTTATGCTTTTATTTAAGGAGTTGGAATTTTTTGGTGATGCTCAGTGTTGTGGTAAAAAATAAAAATAATCTGAATAGGATCATTTTCCCATGTCCTACTCCTTTGTCTTCATCACTTGTGTATGCACCATAAGATAGCAATTTATTTCTACACGTAAAAAAATAAAAAATAAAAAAAGTTTCAGTTGTGACGACAAAAGGAAAAAGAAAGAGCCTTTTATCATGAGAAGCGCAGATAATCAAACACAATGAAAGGTGTATGGGAGGATCGCCAAGAGTGAGGGAGCTGCAAGGACAGTGATTGATTCAGGGTTCTTTGAAAGCAAACAAAAGCTTTGCTCAAGTAATAGTCAAAGAACAATAGGATGTGCCCGCAGAGAGGAGTCAGTGGGAGGGAGAATGAGTTCACTGAGTCGCTACCTTGGTTGTCAAGTGTGTTATGAGCCAGATTGAGGGAGTGAATCACGGAGGCTGGGTTCTCTGATAAAGCCGACGCCATCTTCTGTGGAAAATCCCTGGAGAGAACAGGAGAAACAGGAAATTGAATTCCCTGGAAAAGCAGTGGGTTCCCTCCTGCTTTCAGCAACTGAATTAAGCTGAACTTCTGAGGTCACTTTTTTCCCCACATCCACAAGGTCAAAGCATTTGTAATAAAGTGGTTTTAACACTAGCACTTCTTCATGTCTAAAAATCTATCTTATCTAAAATATGGAAAAGGTGAGCATGGCTGTCAACTCTGTTATTTTAAACATTTCTCCTCAAACAAGTATCCGTTAAAACAATTCCCGCTTTTGTCGCTGGCATTTCTCGTATTGACCCACCTGCGGAGGGATTACTGTCCCCATTTAGTTCCAGTTTCAATCACTTCGGTAAATACAAACAAAACTTAGATCGAGCCAAAAACGGGAATTAGGTTGAAACTTTCAAAACGGTGAAAGCATGGCAATCGAAGGATCAAACATTTCTCACAGAGCTTAAAGGACGGACGTCACTGGAAGTTATATTTGTCTGCTGGCCAAAGACTGAACTCGGAGTGAATACTAATGCTCATTCATGGTTGTTGTTTGCCAACACTTTTGTATAGATCGTTTATCCCCAAGTGCCATAACAAATCAATTATACAATATGGGCTTAAAAAAAAAAAAACTTCCAGGCAAGTCGAAATAATAAAATAAAACATATAAAAACTCCTATAACCATTCAAGAGTCTATTATGCTAATTTTTGCACCACAGAAATTTAAGCAGCAAGACGCCACTGGATGTGCGATCTGAAGCGTGCATTGCAAACCACACAAGTTTGGAAGCAACTTCCAATTCCTTTTCACTATGCCTTAAAATCCGGCGTGAATTTGGAGGATTCCGGGATGCGCATCACACTCTTTTCTGTCATTGCTAAGCATAATGTCCTCAGTTCACCTTTAGGTAAGCATTAATGTTGCCAGACCATCGCTGCGTGTTGACAAAAAGGGGCTTTGTTTTAGGTCTGAGAAAATTTGCACAACCTGAGAGCAATAGTTTGCATATTTATGTTTGCAATGCTGCTGTTAAAGTCAGAGGAGGTCACGTTGACAAAGAAAAAAAAAAAGCAAAGCAAGAAAGATCTGTGTTCTGACACATGAATATTTATGCAATAGCTGATCTTATGGTGAAGTGAACATATTAAGCATGTCTTTAAGGATCAGTTTGATCTTGCATCCAAACATTTGGTCTGATGTAGGTAATTTGATTCTTTTAGGTGGGTACTTGATTTGTCAAAAGATTCAATACCACTTGGAGGGGCCATTCATAATAGACATGGGCATCACTGCCATTGATATGGAATGTATTGAAGCGCTTTGCAAAACATGGCTGCGTGGTTTTATTTAATCTCATGCGATGCTGTGCAGACGGTCTGTCTGTGCTGATGAAAATTCATTCTGGGTTTTAGAGACAACCTGCAAGCAGCAACAAGCTATAGGGATGTTTTTCATACAGTGTTGTTGAGTCTATTTATTGCATTTTGTGGACTGGGGATCAGCTGGAATCCATCAAGAAGAGGTCATGTTTGCAAAATGCTTTTGAAAAGGGCGAGTCAACAAGAAAACGGCCTCAAACTGGCCAGTGAGTGAGCAAAATCCTTGGGTTCAAAGTGTAATGTTATGGAGTGACCAGCCCAATACCCAGACCTTAACCCAATAGAAAACTAGTAGGAATGACTTCACACATGCTGCTTCTGAGGATAATCTCAGAAATGGAGGAACTGTGGAATGTTGTCCAATCAAAGGCGCCAGAAGTCAGTCATCTCCATGCAACACAGATATGAAGCGGCTCTCAGAAACATGGGGTTATGCCACCAAATATTCATCCAGTGACTCACAGCAACCCTAAATCTTTAGGCATTTTTAAAGATGTGGAAGGAAACTTATTGGTGTCATCTGGAATACAAATTCAGTTTTGCTTATTGTTTATGTGGCATGACTGATTTATTTTTGCTAAAGCAAAGGTTTAACCTAAGATAATAAAAAAAAAAAGATAGAAATAAACTATGAGCACTACTTGTGTTGCATTTCTCATTTAATACCTTTTTCAACTCCCAAATTAAACTAAATTCAGGATGCTAGTGCGTGACTTTATATGCAACATATAATTTCACTATTCAATTGAAAATATCTTTTTTTGTTGTTGTTGTTTGTTGAGGACAGGAGTGTTTTTGGTGCACTTCTACTGCACAAAGTCGGTTGCCTTTCCCACTCAGAGCGTCACTGCCAGGAAAATATAAACCCTGTACCTTTATGAGGCTGTAAATTATTTCTCCCTGAGGCAGCAAATTCATCTCAATTAATGCTAAATAAGAAAAATGCCCTGCTAAGTCTTAGCAGCATTGCCCCGCAGGTGGATGGTCCTGCCAGCTATTGCTCGTGATTTCTCAGTGATTTCGGCAGATAAACACTGCGTTCGCCATCAAAAGACAGACAGGAGGCTTTAACGGAGCTTTGCTGGATGAAAGACTGAGGCTGAACGGAGGTGAGCGACGGGGAAGAGGGAGAAGAGGCGAGACTGGAAAGGTCAGGCCATCAAAGAAAAGGAGGAGAGTGAGGCGAGACAAGAGGGGATAAAAGAGGAAAGAGAGAAAGGCTTGAGTAAAAGAACAGGGGGGAAAAGAAGGGGTGAAGGAGTGATTTAGTGGTAAAGGTGCAAGAGAAAATGGAAGAGATTAAATTGGAGTCAGCTAAAAGAGGTGACAGGGTAGGCTGGTCATTTTTCAGGGAAGTGGAAACCTACGCTTTAAGTCCGGCGTTCTCCAGCGTGAGCTCCTCCAGACTGTTGGACTTGCTGACCGTGTGCAGAATCTGGTCCACCACCTCTGACCCCTGTTGAAAAATGCAAAGCAAAATCTGTGGCTGAGGTTTTCTGGTGGGGAAAAAAATAAATAAATAAATAAAACCTAGTCGGCCTTGATGCACATACAGAAACTAGTGTGAGGGGAGTGATTTATCTCCATAATGTACATTCATTTAAGCCAGTGGTTTCCAAACATTTTCTGGGCCCCCCCCCTATGGATTACAAATCGGGAGAGTTAGACTCCTGCTGTCTAGTTGAACAATGTGTGTGAGCAGGGGGGGCGCGGACTTCCGGTTATACGATGTGTGTCAAATTCAAATGCCCCTCCCAGCACGCACAGCCTTCATCGTTTTTTTTTTTTTTTTCCTCCATTCATCCATACCGCTTCCTGCGACCCCCTGCAATGGCACGGCCATTTTGTTATTTCATCTGCTGGCCACCTAGGGGTCGCGCCCCACAGTTTGGGAACCTCTGATTTAAGCAAAAATAAAATCTGAAAAGTTAAAAACTAATTGCATTTGCATCCCCTTCCAGACAACTATTGCTTTTTATTTATTACAGAAATTTATTCCTCGCAACCTAAAGAGCTGAAACTGAGATATGTCAAGCACCAATATATGGAGAATTATAGTAGAAATTAATATGCAGCAAAATCAAAATGCAATTCATTTCATCTTTACCAAAACTTTAAATAAAACTATTTGAGCTATTTCGTTAAGTTAAAAGTTAAAAATGGTCAAGTTAAAAATGTCAATTCCAGAGGAGAAGTTAAAGAACAAGAAAAGCAGAGTTTTGGTCATCTAATCAGTTCAAGTTTTATGGCAAACGTATGAAATTAAAGCAACTCTCAGTATGAACCCAAAACCATGAGCACTATAAATAATTAATAAAGACTTAGTGAGTCAGCTGGAACGCGCCTCTTCAGCCTTTGCTTTTCAAATTGAATCTTCCTTCCTCGAATGGTCTCAATAATCAACCGTTGTGCACGAATGCATTTTCTAACGTGATACGTCGGTACCGCTTCGCTTACTGCAAAACAGTTGCATTAAAAAAAATCTCCACAGAGCAGGAAAAATGTAGATTTTTCAGCTTCTTACTAAAAATAGCTCAATGAGATGCCTCAACTTTAATGTGTAAATCACAGTTACGAAACGCAGCGATGGCTTCGACTTTGAGCGTCAGGTGTGTAAAAAAAATCTTAATGAGCGGCTCAGGTTGGTGTGTGTATTAACTAGGACAGCATCAATGACACATAATTCATGATTTTATGCAAACATTTTGATATGAGTCACCCACACAGCAATTAAACGTTGGCTGGAGGAGAAAAATCAATTCAGATCAGAAGCTTACATGCAACTCTGAGTAATTGCAACAGTGAGGTCAAACACCAATGTTGGATGTGAAGCAGTGGCTCACAGTCTCAACTCTAATTCACACAGAATGTGTTTTGTGAGGTCTTGGATTTGCAGACCAGTCCAGTTCTTCCACCCCAAACCTAATCATCCACGTCTTCATGGACATTGTTTTGTGCTCTAGGTTTCTCCAAACTGTTTCCATAAAGTTAAAAGCATGAAATTGTCCAAAATGTCCTTGTAGGCTGCCGCATTAAGATTTTATCTTACTTAAACTAACAGGCCAGGCTCTATTCCTCAGAAATACTAACATTATTTACCCATCTGCACCAAAGTTTGTATTTGACACAATGCAGTCTCCTGGACAGATCCTTAGGAAATATAATTTGATCACACACTTTTTATCAGAACCGACATGTTTCTTGCTGGATGGTTCATCACTTTTCTTGGCAAAACTGGAAAATGAATTTAAATTGTCTGTTTTCCTTACAAAGACCTGCCTTTTAAGGCTAACCCACCAACTTTTGATTGGACTTGAGGTGGGCTGAGTTCCAACCTGCTTTAGTAATTCCAAAACCAGTTTTAATGTGTGATTGTGATTATGTTGGAACTACCTATTGTGCCCCAGTTTCAGCCATTACATCCAGTCTGTCACCTTCAGATAAAAGGAACTGTGGATGTTCAACCGGAAAGCTGCCAAAACGCCAGTGCCACTGTTCAGAGTCGACTCTGAGAGTTTGTGCAGAAAGAAAGAAGGCGCTACTCTAAAATTGACACGTTCAAGCTCAAATTGACTCACTCGTACAATACAGATGCCTTCTGGAGAAAAGTTGGTCAAACAAGACAAAGGTTGAGCTGTTTGGCTACAATGACGAGAAGAATATGTGAAGTTTTAATCAGGCTTTTAAACAAACACCTACTATCCAGCATGGTGGTGGTAGCATCATGCTAAGGGTCTGTTTTACCAGCAGTAAAACTGTTGCATTAGATAAGATGGATGAAATAACAAAATACAAGGATTAACTTAACGTTCTCCAGCTGAACAGAAACAAAACTGCAGTTATCATCTTTGGGCCTAAAGAGGAACATTCCAGCGTAGCTTTAGCCATTGCAGCTAGAAAAGAGCGATCAGGCCCAGAATCTGGGTGTGGTGACGGACTCAGACCTGAACATTCAGAGCCACATAAAGACAACAAAGTCGGCCTTCTGTCACCTGAAGAACATTTCCAGGCTTAGAAGACGAATGTTGTAACAAGATTTAGAGAAACTCGTAAATATGTTTATCTTTAGTCGCCCTGATTACTGCAACAGTGTCTTCACTTAAAAACAGCCAGACAGCTGCAGCTGATCCAGAACACGCTGCTGGTCGCATTTTCACTAAACCAGGAAGATGGAGCACATCTCCCCCGTCCTAAGGTCCTTACACCGGCTCCCTGGAGCTCAGGTTTGTTGCTTGTTTCATAATTGATGAGTGCCTGATGTTTTCATGATGCAACTGCCTTGTTGCTGAAATGTGCTACACAAATAAACTTGACATATTAAAACTGGATTTGAAATTGAATTGAAGCCTCTGAAAACCCCCACCCAAATATTAGTGGGCTGCATGTACATATTTAAGCCCGTATGTATAATTTTGGCCTTGAGTAGAAAAGAGAAAATCTGAAATGACTTAAAATTGTTTTATGTAATTCTTGTTTTTAGAAATATTTCTATGTTGTTGTTTTGTTATTTGTTCAATTATACAGTGAAAACCAAAAATCAAATGATTAATAAAATTATTAATAATGCCAGCGATAAGTATCTAATAAGTCTAGGCCAGGTAATCACAGCATCTGGTACAAGGGTTTGGAATGGATAAATATCTGAAGAAAAAAAAATAAATTTTCATTACTATTCTCATGTCTTTGCAGTACAGCTTGGTGAACCAGGTGTTGTAGGCAATGGATGCCACAATCACTGCCAAGTCCCTGGAAGAAACAAACACACACAAACACACACAAATTAGATAGAAAATTCAAATGTTTAAATTAACCAACGCCATCTGCTCAAACACATTTTATGTCAACCATCTATAAATTCCCATTATGTTGGGGCAAACTTTTACTTTGCTCTCCGTTTGGTAAAAAGAGCAGTTTGTCATTGTGACAGGGAGAACACCCCGGGCGGGGTTGCTTTCCTAAAGATGACTGATACTGCAGCTCCACCGTGGAGGGGACATGAAAAAAAAAAAAAGAACAAGAAAAAAAGGGAGATGAGGGAGATCGATGGATGGGTCAGTGGATTATTCATTAAAGCCACATTTTGAATCCGGCTACAGACCTCAAATACTGGTCCGTAGACGAATCTGTACCGAGAGCACAGGTTCGCGCGATTGAGAGGGAGGAAAGGAACGGAGAGGGAGGGTTGTCGAATTCTCCAAGGTCCAACTAGAACCGTGCTGCCTCTGCACCCGCTATACATCATCTGACAAACAGGTAGCCAACATACGGCGAAGGCACAAAGAAAAAGAAGAAGAAGCCCACAGACTGGAAGGGAGAAAGATGCAGCGATAGGGAGGAAGAATAAAAGAGTAATAGAGAGGGAGAAAAGGTTAATCTAGTCAGGAAGGGTCCAGTAGGCACAGAATTTCAGATATCCCTGCTGCTCTTGGAAAATAAAATCAGCTACAGGCTGCGTTCCCGTTTCATTACCAAGCGCAACCGTCATACCAGTCCATTGTGACTAACAGCTGAGTCCGTGTTTGTGCCCGAACAGATGGAGCACATGTCAAGATCCGTCATCAGCGCTGAATCGTACCGACAGCGGGACATGTAACTGACCTCTCACTGAGCCAAGGGGCGTGGCGACTCGCACTGTACACGTCGACAGAGAACGCACCATTGACAGAGATCGTTTTCTACAAACTAATCAAACAAATTCAACTGAACCAGCTCGAGAAGCGAGAGGGATCTTTGCGAGCCTCTGCAGAAGCTATGACTCACACAAAGCCCTTCCGAAACGGACGGATTCAGAGGTGTAGTAAAGAGAGAACAGCCTATAAACTCACTGAACTGAAGAGGCAGTGGTTGGAAATGATGCACAAAATGCTCTGGAACAAGAAGTGAAAGTCTCTCCGGCAGCTTTACAAAGTGACGACAAGCTGTGATACTTACCTAAGGGAGTGCTGGTCAGTGGGTAGGTCTGAAAGCCTTGGCTTCGCACTGCCGTATTTGTTAGGTTTCGAATGTACAAGATGAAAATTAGCGTGCATCCTGCATAAAGTTGGGGAGCGAAAGTCCCCATTGTGCCTTTTCTCATCGTATTTTATTATTTTGCAGTTCCCGTCTCTATGTGCAGCAAATATTCCCTCAGATATGTTTGATTTAACCCATTTGAGGGCAGTCAGACACAACGGTTTGGAAAATGAAATTATGATAATATTAATATATTAAAAAAAAAAACACTAAAAGGTGATACCATCCCGAAAAGTGGAAAAAAGTAACCAGCACCATTTCTTTCCGTTTTAGATATGCCAACCTATAAGGCGAGATAAGAGCAAGTGCAGCAGCAGCTTAACTTTGTTTCGATCAGTTCTGAAGTTGCTCCGGAGATAAGACGCTCAGGCTGCTTGAAATCAAAGTTTCCGTGTCGCATGAACGTGCTTGCAACTTTTTATGGCAACGGGCCATGTTAATTAATTACAACAGAGTGAGGTTTCACATGGTTTTCTCTTTGTAGAGCAAAAAAAAAAAAAAAAAAAAAATTTTTGGAAAATGTCAAGACAATGCATCTAAAGGTGCCTGAATTTGCAGAGGCAGAGCAGTCGGCAGGTTTCACTGGAAATAGCTCATCTGATAACACATGGATATGCTTCAATGCTGCTATAAATCAACACTAAAGTCTAAAACTTTAAGCATGACTCACTGCCTGCAGTGGTGACAAAATTAGGCCACTGGTTATACATTGTTGTCCAGATGAAATTTTGTTCAACAAATAACCTCAGGCTATGACAATCTGGAAACCTGCATCTGTTGGTACGTGCTAAGGCGCACATTAAGAGAGAGAGAGAGAGGGAGAGAGAGAGTGACAGAGAGAGAGAGAGAGAGAGAGAGGGAGAGAGAGAGAGACAGAACTAGAGAACTGACTGATATGTCTGATATGTCAGAAGGTGCCAAAACTCTTTCCTGAAACAGAAAGGCTTAGCCATTTTTACAAGCAGAACATATGAAAGCGTCCAAATGCAAATTTGACTGAAAAAAAAAAAATCACATTGCTCTGCTGTCTCTGCAATGTGTTGTCATCCTGCAAGAGCCCAGACAGAATGGTGGCAGGTAGGGCCCGTGACTGACTCAACGGAGAAAAATGGGTCAAAACAAGTAAATTTAGGATAACAAGAGGAGATGGGAGAGGCAGAAAATAGTCGTCCCCTTTCAGTCAACAGCAATGACCAAAGACAATGTTTGGACGGACGTCAACCAACGGGGAAATAAAAAGCATCTCCCCGTCACTCATGGCAACGCAAGACGAGATCAGACGGGAGAGAGACGGATGGAGTGAAAATGTGCCAGGACAAGAGGGGTTGAGAGGAAAAGCGGCGCGCTGCAAATAGGCTCGGGCCTGCGAAGGGTTGCCTTGAAATGACAGTTGATTATTTCCTAACAGTTTTGCTTTGACAACCCAAAGACTCATCGCTTCGCTTAAGGGAGTAGCATCTTAAAAGGAAGACATTATTTCCAGTGGAAAAAAAAGGTTCCAAGACGGCCCTGATGCGGTTTCCGTTTTGCCTCGATGTTATGAGTAAAGCGAGAGGAGAGCCGGGATCAGGGGTGGGGAGCGGAGGGGGAGGTTTTGGCGTTGACCTGCCACTGATGCGTCTCTAAGGCGACAGCAGCAGTCACGGAGCTGAACTGGAGTGCATCTGTGAAGTGATCTCTGCTGACTCTGTCATGGGGACTTGTTTGGCACACACTGATGCGGCGGCGCAGTGACACGTTGAGCTTTTTGTGAATTACCAGAGCATATCTGATGCAGACATCTTCATTTCACTGATACGGCTCAACTAATTTGTGAAAATGGGGCTGATGTCAGAAAGAACCGAAAGCAGGCAGCGATTTCAAGCAATGACTCATTGCAGAACCGTATTTTCATATCTGCCTTCATCGTTTATCAGCTTGCAGTGTTTTTGAAAAGGTAGTCCTAGTTTGAAATGTTGTCACCTTGTAGTCAAGGTGACACTTTTGGTCATATTAGACCAGGGATGTCCAAAGATTTTCACAGACAAATAAAATCTTCTTAAACATTTATTTATGTAGATGCAAGACAAAGTATTTTCTTTTATTAACAATTTGTCTGTTTTCATTGATTACAGTTTGCTAAAACCAGCAAGCGCTGCCTATTTGTTGCCAAGTGTAAAATAAATAAATAAATAAATAATAATAATAAAATTTATTAAAATAATCAATCTAAAACAATTTTTGGGAAATATTTACCTTTTATTTAATGCTGCAACTTTCCAAAATCCAGTTTATATTTTGGATCAACACTGACAGATTCATTTTCTACAAATATTAGACTACTTTGCTTAATTAAGATATTGCTCATTTACTATATTATCAAAGAGGTTTTAAAAAACACCAAAAGTCCTAAGAAATAATAAATAAATAAAAATTAATTAAAAAAAAAAAGAAAGTGGTCCTGGAGTTCTCTCAACTCAATTTTGTGCCTAATGCCAGAAGGTTTGGACACCACTGTACTAGACCAAATTTTGGTATTCTGTAATCACAAATTGATACTTTTATTTTTCCAGGGACAAAGTAGTTACGTAAATGTAAAGTGGCATCAATAGAATACACAGTAACACAGTTTTGCATTGAATGTAGAAAAATCTTGTATCGAAATATATTCAGTCACTTTTGCTCCTAATTATAATCCAGATCATCAGATGTGATTTATTTTGTACCCGTTCGTAATTTAATTACAGTAAACGAGATTGGTGAGATTAAATAGCTTTAATGGAATGGTTTAGAACCAAGCATATTTATGTCTTAGAATGGCCCAGACCTAAATTATTTGGAGAACATGTGTTAAAAATATTTGTTGCACTCCAGCCAACTTGCCAAGCAGCTATTTCATAAAGAATAGCAGCTTCATTTCTATTTCTAGATGTGCAAAGATCGTCCTTTAAAGTATCCGACTCAAGGGGGTTGAATCCAGAAACAAATGCCACACTTTTCAGATTTAAATCAGTTAAAAATGTTGAAAACCGTGTAACCTTTCCTTTTTACCGTTATATGCTGCTTTGCTTTTGCTCATCACAAACAGCTTCAATTGAAAAGAATGAATGCTGCGTTTGTAATGTGACTTTACAAAAAAAGAGAAAAAAAGAAGAAGAATCCAAGCAAGGCTTCACTCTTACGATGAAAAATAGAAAATAAGAAAAAAATCATTCTTGTTATTGTGAAAGCATTTCATGTACTGGGAGCAACGCAGCTACAGATGTAACGGAAAATAAAACGAGTCTAAGAGAGCTTTTCAGGGCAAAACATTTATAAAACATAAGATAAGGATGAGAAAAGCAGTCAAAATAATCCATCAAATCATTTTAGGAACAGCAAAATTCTTGAAAATACACACCTGAGTTAAGAAACAAGAGATTTAAAAAAAACAAAGGAGTGAAGTGAGCACATGGCACGTTGCAGCTGTGCAACTCCTTGATTCTGCCTCTTACAAGCATATCATCCCCTTTCTGTGCTCCAAGATTACCAAACATCTACAAAAAACACGCAAAACAGAGCACAAGACAGAAAGGGAGCCAAGGACTGAACAAAAGACTGACACTGAATATTTTACCCCGTCAGGATCTTATTAGATTAAAAATACTCCACTGTCATGTGAAGTGACAGCTGATGAGACGCCATGCATCATCTGGGAAATGCTTCTGCGCCAAATGCCATGATGCGCAATAAAAAAAATAAATAAATTTAAAAAA